AGTGGGAACTACAAAGTCCTGAACCGGGACACTTTACGGTGGAGCTCCCGGGTACAGGAGAAAGCAGCAAATCCTGGAGAGGTAAACCACCAAAGATCTGGTCTGTTACCATGGAAACTGGGTCAATCCCAGCAGAACCTGCACATATTAACCCAGAACTAAGCTTTATTCTCCACCTTTCGGTGACTTTTACTTAAGTAACATATTTTCCGCACTTTAAGGCACCTAAAAACCTTCAAATTTCCCAAAAAATGCTTATATATATTGATCAGGATTGAGTCACAAAAGGTCTTGCAACTACCGGAAGAAGCCGCCGACTCCATTTTTCCCGTAGAAGAAGAAGTAGAGATAGAAGAAGTAGTGCTCGAAGAGGCGCCACCTTCTGGGGATCCTCAGTACTGCACAATGTAGATATCTGTTAGTCCCCATTTTAAAAGTCGACTAGTAAAAGAAGGCACAGAGAAGAACAGAGAGTCCCATACTGCCAGAGTTTTTTGAGCATTTTGACTGATTTTTCAGGAGCCACAAAATAGTTTGTGCTGTGACTATGTAAACACCGAACACACCAAAAGAAAAAGTAGACTCTCTTCTTTAATCAGGAAAAAAAAATTGTTTCTACCTTATTCCGTTCTTCCTCGACTTGCGTCTCACCGGCGCCATTTTTCGCATAGCGAAACATTGCGTTTTTCTTATTTGCCTACAGTCTATGCTCATCTCCCATCAAAAGTGGCACTACCCCCTAGAGGGTCAATTTGTTACTACATACTCTGTCTAGAAGCCTGATATTTACGGACAAGCTTTAGCAGATTGTCCCCCAGCCACTCTCGGTGAAAAACATAAAAGACGTCTATAGACGTCTTTGGCAGCCAATGAGTTAAAGGTAATCTATAAAGACATTGCTCTGATATCCAATCAGTGTGGGATCTGGGGGGGAACGGAGGCTGTAACTTGTGTGTCTCTGTGTGCCAGTGCGGCCTCCACAACGCGTCGGACAACGCGCTGCGCTTCGTCAAAGAAAACTTTCTGGCGGAAGACGTGGTGCGGCCGGTGGGCAGGAGCCTGACTCTGGTCTCCACCGAGCACAGCTACAGTCACCTGACCGTCCAGAGGGTCCAGGCGGCCAATGGGAGGAGCTACACCGTCCTGTTCCTGCTCACCGGTCAGCAGGGGGGGGGG